CTTCCACCTCTGGAAATTTTGCTTGAGCACCATCCCCATTGTTGAAGTCACAATATCACCTTGCCAAGCACCCCTTCAGAGCCACGCTTGACCGGTGGCCTTAAATTTGCAGAGTCTACTGAGTAGAAATGACCAATTTGGTGGGCCCAGTATTCCATCAATATCCCATTCAATCATCATTTTTCATGGTTACGTAAATAAATAATATTTCAAAATATTTCAAAAATTCATCCATCACATAGCCGCTTGGTGCCGGTTGGTGCCGCTTGGTGTGGGCCATGTGGCCCACGCGGGATTGCTGTTGGGCCGCCTTTCAGCGGAGCAGCGTGCCCGCGGTGCCACAGAAGTCCCTTGGTTGGAAGACAAGGAAGTCCAACCTAAAACATGGCAATTCTCAGGGTGGGGGTATGGTAGGAGATGTTGAATGCTGTTTCATGGTGTTGTGATGTGTCATTTTCCCAGATCCGGAAAGAACGAACAAAGTCGGAAACGATCACTTTGTGTGAGGAGTGGTTCTGTTGAAGGTCCCAAATTTCAAGCTTCAACGGGCAAACTGAAGAACTATAGGAGATTTTTGCCATCGGGGTCTCATTCAGCACTTGTTAGCCCCAGCCGCGACTCTGCCAAGTCATTCTCTTGATAGGTTAAATCCCAATCTGGATGATGAAACCAGTTAAATCCGCATTCTGCACAATGAAATCCACAGGGTGTGTTTGAACATGGGGTATACCGTAGACCATCCCCAGTTATGGCTAGTCTAAAGACGGAACATGGGGTGCTAAACCAGGGTCGCCCCGGTTATGAATAATTTCCCAGTTCCCTGGAGGGAAGCATGATGGGCCCCCCACAATTTCTAGACAAACCTGGTTAAACCCTCATGTTTGACTGTTATACTGAAGTTATACCCAGTACCCCACTCAAACATCTGCATTTTTCTCAGGTTTTCCTTATTATTTTTCCAATTTTTCCTCGTTTTTAGGAGCTTTTCCCTGGATCCCATGATGTCCCATGATGTCCCATGATGTCCCATGATGTCCCCGTGAAATTTCCCAGCTTTTTTCCAGTTTACGAAGCCGAGGTTGGAGGTGTGGGTGCACCAACTGAGTGGAGACCTGCTATGTCAACTGCAGGTGGAGGATGAGTGCACCGTGGAGCTCTTGAAGTGCCAGGGCCTGGGTCCGTTTATTTTTCCTCACATGGGCCATTTGGATCATTTGGGTCACTGGTGGGGGGATCCCATTTTCAAACACACCGAGACATCGTTGGATGTTAAGAATTCCTGGCTGATGGGGGATGAAAACCCAAGAAAAGTGTGGATCGAAGCAGCAGAAAAAATGAGCCTTTTTGCGGGTGAACGCGTCGATTAAAAACGGGCAAAATGGCGGTTCAGATCGAAAGATTGTTTCTTTTTTTTCCGCGAAGAATGAGCAGTGGAGATTCATACCGGCAATTGTCAATCGTGTTATTGTTTTGAGCTTGATCAATACAATTATGAGAATTGGTATGGAGCAGAAAGTGTATGGATCAGAATCTTGTACCCAGGAAGCAGATTTTGAATCGTCCCGACTTGACCCATTCCCAGTTCCTGGTATTAGCTGGTGATTTTTGTGGAGTATGATGAGTTATAGTCCCTTCCCCCTACTAATAAACACCCCAGAAACCATAGTAGGGGATATACACATATATATACATCTCTCTCTCTCTCTCGCTATATATATATAATATTTGACAATTTATGAGGTGTTTGTGTTTAATATTAGGGGGATGGGATTATATTCAGTTCTACTCCTCCAGGTGGACTTTTGTTTTGCGCTGAATCTGGCAGTTCGATGACTTGGGATAGGCCTCTATAAGAGTTCACCCTTCCTAACTCTGGCTCAATCACCAAATTGCTTGACTTTTTTTTCTCCCCAAACAGCGTGTCCACACTGAGGGGTTCTTACGGTAAGTGCAAAGGCCGGTGCTTGATCAGGGTGCTCACTCTGGGCTCCGGCATTTTTCCTGTAAATTTCCGCATACAGTGGCTCTTGTGAAATCTTGACATGCGTTTCGACTGTGCAGGCTCGCACAAAGTGTGCGCCTAGGTTCTGGGGCTCGGGCACTTTCCCTGTAAATTTCCGTATAAGGTGACTCTTGTGAAACGTTGAAGTGCATTTCGACTGCGCAGGCTCGCACAAAGTGTGGTCCTAGGTTCTGGGCTCGGGCACTTTTCCTAGGTCTTGGGATCGGCCCTCCTCCTCAACATCATTATCCTCAACATCATTGCCCGCAACATCATCACCATCATCATCATCATCACCATCATCAACAACAACATTATCATACATAATCCTCCCACCCCCCACACTGTTTGGGGTCTCTTGCCGGGATAATTTAGTAGATCTGAGATTCACCAGGGTTTTTGAATGGTTTTGAATGGGGCAGATCTTCCACCTTTGGGATTTGCTGGTCCCAAAGTGAGGCATCACATCCAATCTCTGACGGACATCCCGCAGACCAGGCTGCGTGTTGTGGCCAATAGTGATTCATCCCCAATTTTACCAGACATGGGTGGTGTACAATCCAAAATTGGTGGTTTACTACTGGATTGGATTTACCACATGACCTGAGTTGCGTGGTGAACACGTCCATTTCAAAGGTTTTTCATGCTTCAAACCCCTCTCGCCCAGCATCTCTAAGGTCATATCATCCCATATTTTCCACCCTTCAAATCCCCAACATCAAATTTCCAAGTCATCTACCATTTCTAAGTCACATTTCTAAGTCATATCTCTAAGTCACATATACAAATACATATATATATATACACATTAATATATATATATTGTGATTTGTCAACTCTTTGCACTCCAACTTGGTGCAGTTTCGGAAGCTTTACAACGAGTTGTATCAACTGGCCTCCATGTGGGTATCTGTACCATGAATATCTCAAGGTCCTGTGGCTCAGGATGTGTTGAGGGCTTAGGGTGCCCCTCGACTTGCACCTTTGCAGTGGTGCCAAAAGGGCGCGGTCGCCATAGCACTCCGGGTGGTGCGTTGTTCATTTGGAGATAGGACCAGGGGTCCCCTTTGCTTTTGAGGTTGATAGGAATTCAGGAGCCCCTACCAGTGTTTGGGATTGGTCCAACACTGGTAGCGGAGCTACCCAGGCCAAAGGTGTGTGGCCACACTTTTGGAAGCCTTGAGATCCAGGATGAGTGGAACTGAAGAGATGGCTCAGTCATCTGTCCCTAGCGGACCTTCTTTGTCCCATTTGCCTTGGAACATGATTCCGGTGTTTAAACCGGGGGAGACCGAGATCAATGAGTACACCAAGAAGATCGAGTTCCTTGCAGGTTTGTGGCCTCCTGAACATCTCAGCCACTTGGCCCCGCGGGCTGCGATGCTGTGTGAGGGGTCATCTTTCAAACGGGTCATGAGGTTAGATCCTGCCAAGCTGAAAGTCAATAGTCTGGACGGAGTGAAATTGCTTATCAATACTTTGGGGGGTATCTGGGGAAAGAGCAACCTGGAGGACAAGTTCGAACGTTTTGAGCGAGCAATTTTTTCCACAGTTCAGCGCCAAGATGAGTCCCACGAGAGCTATTTGGCGAGGCATGATTATCAGTTTGAGGAACTCTTACAAATGGGTGTAGGATTCAATGAAGTGCGAGCCTACATACTCCTTCGAAATTCTGGTTTGGTTTCAGAGGATAAGAAGAAGATCATCGTAGATGCCAAGGGTGAGTTGGAGTACAAGTCCATAGTGTCAGCCTTGAAACTTCTGGGATCAAAATTTTTCCATGAGCTCCAAACGGGAAATCGCACTGTGGGTCGCAACAAAACCTATGATGTGAATGCAGTCTTTGATGAAGAACCACTCATGCCAAATCCGGAGGATGAAACCGTTTTCATGGGCGAGACTTGGGAAGAATATGAGATCCCCTATGATGATTCAGACCCTGATGCAGTGGTGTGCATGCAGTTTGAAGAAAGTTTGGTTGAAGCTCTTCAATGTGATTCAGAGATTGCGGCTTGTTACAATACGTATTTGGATGCCCGAAAACGTTTAGCTGACAAGGGAAAGAACCGTGGTTTTTGGAATCCCAAGGGAAGCTCCTATACTCAGAAGGGTAAAGGGAAAGGGAAGACCAAGAACATGTTCAAGGGCCGAAAACCATTGGCCCAACGCATTCTCGAGTCAGAGTGCCGTAGATGTGGCATGAAGGGACACTGGAAGGCGGAGTGCCCTCTCAATAAGGGTACTGCCGCTGCTGCCTCGACCACCGGCACTTCCAGTAGTGCTTTTGCAGGGACAGTTACTGCCATTTCCGATGAGCCTGATGACCAAGACATGATCGTCGTGGAATCCTGTTTGAGTGAAGTACCTTGTTTTGACTCAGTGTTTTCAAAGGGTCAGGAATTTTGCTTTATGAGTTTTGCTGATCAATCCAAGAACGAGGGAAAATTGAATCTCCAGTGCATTTCCAGGTTCCTGAGTTCCATGAAGCAACGCCTAAGCCCTCAACTTGAAAGCCATTCTGAGCCGTGCCTGACAGGTCATTTGTTGCCTGACACTGATGTAGCGATGTTTGTGAGTCATGGCCCCTACGGTATCATGGATTTGGGCGCAAGTCAAACGGTGATAGGTCGTCAACAGGTTGAATCTCTGTTGTCACACCTCCCAATGTCCATTCAGAGCCAAGTCCAAAGAGTACCGTGCCAGACCATATTTCGTTTTGGCAATAGCAGCACCGTCAATTGTCAGTTTGCTCTCATGATTCCGCTGGGAAAATGGATGGTTAAAATTTGTGTTGTGAACTCTCAAACCCCTTTCTTGCTGTCCAATAACGTTTTCAGAACACTTGGAGCTCAGATTGACACAGCACAGGACGTAGTGCACTTTGCCGAACTTGGATTCTCCATGGATTTGACGTTGTCGGAAAAGAAACTCTACCTGCTGGACTTTTGTGATTTGGTCAAGAAGTCGTTTGAAGGTAGGTCTCAGGTGCCAGTCACTCCAGATCATGCAAAGCCAATCATGACAGCCGTGAATACCAATGTCCTTTCCCAAGAGGACCATGCTATGGAAGTCAAACTTCCGTCAACCCAACAGCCGGTAGTGTCAAGTTTGCCTGTAGCATCCGAACGTTGTTCACCTCACCCGACTGTACTGACCGATCATGGCTTCCAAGAGTCTTGCCGATCGCTTTGCAGCAGTCACGGAGACCAAGGTGAACGAGGAGTTCATGCAACACTCCTACGAGGAGCTATCACAGATGCGCATCTCCTTCGGCGAGACGAAGTTGAACCAGAAGTTCATCGATGTGATTGAACAAGATCCCAAGTATGTCAAGTGGTTCGCAAAGAAGTATGCAGAGAGCCAGAAACGGGCTCACCAAGCATTCCTCTACTTCATCAACATCTATGTCGAGCGCCTGGAGTTGACGCAAGAGGGAACTTCCGTGGAATCCCCGAAGAATCAGACATCGAACCTGATGCTGAAACCCAAGGCCAAATGTGCTCTCAAGCCGTCAGTGGTACCGGAAGAAGTTTCCAGCTGGAGCGAGGACGAACTGGAGAGATCATGGAGCGTGGAGGACGAAGTGTCCCAACAGGGACAACGCCTGAACAACATGGAGAACACGATGTCCCAGATTGCCAGCCAGCTCCAGATCCTGACCCAGATGATTCACCATCAGCAGACAGCTGCTCCGTGAGAGAGGGTCAGCCTGAGTCCGAGTTTAGGTCATGGGTGGCAGACGAGATTGGTTGTCAAGTGATGCAACAAGATCCATGCAGTATACATGATACCGCCTATTTCCAAGAAGTGTTTCGAGGTCGCTTTGGTATGCATAACTGGGTGTATCAAGAGATGTGGACTTACTACCGCAAGAAACATACCCATCTTTCATGGGAGGACCTTCAACAACACTGGAAGAAATCACACTGCGACTTGCTGGAAGTATACTGTTCCAGTGATAGCCAACTCACTGCCCAATGCGTGCAAGCTGGAATGTCAGCCAAGCGTTTTTGCCTGAGAGATGGGGATCTTGCCACGTTTCATGGTAGGTGTCAGTTGTATGACATGTTGTGGATGTTGAGACCCAGACATGTGTGGTGCTCACCCCGCTGTGGCCCATGGAGCAACTGGAACCGACTCAATAGTCAGAAGTCCCTTGCCCTAGCCGACAAGATCCACCAGGACAGGATCTCTGAGAACGTCCATTTACTCCTTTGTGATGCCATTTTCAGACTTCAAGATTGGAGAACGGGTGATTTTCATTTTCATTTGGAACAACCGCAGGGCTCCGAACTAGTTTTCCAACGAGAAATAGAAAATATTGTGGAAAACACGATGGCTGTTCAGTATGACATGTGTAATGCTGGTAACTTGCGACATCCACATAGCCATGAGCCGTTGCGCAAGAGAACCCAGGTTCTAACCACTTCACAAATCATGTGGAGAACTTTACAGCGATGCCAATGTGTGGGCAACCATCACCATGATGTCATTGCCGGATCTTTCAAACCTGCTGGCTTTGGTCGCATGCCTGTGTCCAAATACACAGAGTTGTATACAGCCATGTTTGGTAGACGCCTCAGCCGTGCCATTCAGTGTAGCTGTCAAATCCAGGAGAAGGTCTTTGGTAAGCATCAGGAGTTTTCTTTTGTGACCAATACAGCTGCTGAGGAGTCCGAGCCAAAGCGTCGTCGACTTGCTGGCAAATTCCATCCGGAATTTCTGTTTGTGCCACCCCCGCAAGAGAGTCCAAGTTCCGACAGATCCCAAACTGTGTCGCTGCCACAGCCTGGTGATGTTGTTTCCCAACAGATTTTTAGAAATGGCTGAAAAGAGCGCTCCTCGAGTTGGACCTGTTGTCATCGCTGCCTGCTCTACACCTCCAGCTGCAGTGAGAGTCCTGTAGCACGGTGGCAGCGGTCCTATGTTTTTAGGTACGAAGTAGCGCAGATGTTTAATTGGGCAGTTGCTATTGCCCGTTGCTTAGTTGCCAGAAAATTCAAAAAACAAGAAAAGCCAAAAAAAGAAGAAAAAATCACAAAATCGAAAAAAAGAAAAAGAAAAAGAACTGACATCAAAAAAGAAAAAAATCGAACCCAGCCGTGATGGCTGCAGGAAAAGCCATGAGGCAAAGAAGAGCCGTGAGGCCATTTCACACAGGGTTTAGGTTTCCTAGCTGGGCTGGCTGGCTGCTGACTGCTTGCTGTGCCTTTTCGCTGGTACCGACTGCTTCAGCTTTCCCTTCGTGTGATTTCAATACTTGGGCGGACTTCGCCGATTCTACCGGCCCCACAAGGGCCCCCCTAATTCAAAACTCCACTGATGCAATGATGGTGCAGCCATGGCGTTTTTGCCAGCAGCATCGAGCGCGGCCTGAGCGGCTGCTGGAAAGACCTGACAGGAATGCATCTGCCGAGCGCAACGTGTGCAGGCTTCACATGAGCTCGCTGCTTGGATGGTGCATCTTGGCTTGGTTCGGGTTGTGGTCGCTGATGGAA